CTCTGAAACGGGATTTTCCTATTGGTTGTAATGAGAAATTCAGTCATTGTGGAAAGTTGATGGTGGATTATAATCAAATAGAATCAGGAGACAGTGAATGTAATCTGATTGGTGTCTCCAACCTCTCAAATGGGAATTTGGTGGTAGCTCATGAAGTGAAATTAGGAGAAAGTGAAAGTAATATTGGTGTTGCCAACCTTTCAAACGGGAATTTGGTGGTGGCTCATGATGAAGTGAAATCAGAAGAAAGTGAAAGTAAAATAATTGGTATTAATCCTCTGAAGGAAAATGCTAAAAAGGATTTTGCACCTCGGAAATACCCTCCTCCAAGAATCTTGAAAGGATTTTCCCTTAGACGAGATTTTCCTATTGGTTTTGAAAGCCAAAAATTTGTTGATTTACCAAATGGAATATTGATGGAAGAGATTGAACCATTGGACGCTATTGATCATGAAATCAAATCAAGAGAAATGTTGATGGAAGAGATTGAACCATTGCAAGCTATCGATCATGAAATTAAATCAAGAGAAATGTTAGTGGAAGTTGAACCATTGCAAGCTATTAACCATGAAGTCAAATCAAGAGAAAGTGAGCTTGATGTGATTTCTGCCAATCCTTTGAAGGAAAATGCTAGAGTGGATTGTGTCAGTCGGAAATTCCCTTTAACAAATGAAAGGTCTATGGTAGAGATTAAACCAAAAGAAGTGAGTGATGAAATTGACTTAAATATTCGCGACAAGATGAAGAAGGCTTTGCACTCATTCCAAGATATAGTCAATAATCTCATGCAAGAGGGTGCAACAAGTGCGGGACCGAATATTCTAATGAAGGCAGCAGTGGTTCTAAGAGAACAATCAAAATGGATTTACACAAGTAAAAGAATAGGACCTATCCCAGGAGTAGAAGTGGGTGACATGTTTCAATGGGTGACAGAGATGAATGTTATTGGTCTTCATAGCCAGTTTTTGAGTGGTATAGATTACTTGAAAATTGATGGGAAAGTAATAGCAATAAGTGTTGTTGCTTCTGGTCGTTATTCCAATAATGTAAATTATTCTGATGTCCTAGTTTATTCAGGTCAGGGTGAAAATCCTGCTCTTAAACGGAAGCAACAACTTGAAGATCAAAAGCTTGAACGAGGAAACCTAGCATTAAAAAATAGCATGGAAGAAAAAACTCCGGTTAGAGTAGTTCGTAGCTTAAAATTATCTAGGCCATCGACTTACATAGGGATGAGTGGTAGGAGGATTTCCAACAAGGTTTATTTTTATGATGGCTTGTACCTTGTAGATCGATATTGGCAAGAAAGAGGAAAATTCGGTAAATTAGTTTTCATGTTTTGGTTAAAAAGAATAGAAGGGCAACCTAAATGTACATTTTGGAAGAAGTGTGTAATTTGAGAATTTAACTTTCTTTTTCTTTTCTTAATAATCTCTCATTTTGGGGTTTCAAAATAAAAGTTTGGAGTGTGTTAGATGGTTATGATATTTCCACTCATCGGTGTCTGTGATTTGTTTATGTTAAGCTTTTTTTTTTAGGAGGGATTTGTTCCTTGTGATTATGTAACTTTTTTTTTTTTTTTTTTCTCTTAATAATCTCATATTTTGATCAACCCATTTTGTAAAACTGATACGGGGGGTTTTGTTAACTTTTTGAAAAGGTTCTTCTGAAAAAGTGTTTTTTAAGTTGAGTTAAATCAATCGAATTAGATTTAAATGTGAAATGTGTTTGCTAAAACATTTGAATTATGTCAGATTAGATAAAATATTTAAACACTTTTTGAAAAAGATTAAGATAGAATGTTTTTGGTATATTTTCTAAAATATTTAGATTGTTTTTTAACACCCTTATATGTGTTAATTTAGTTAAATACCTCTATAATAAAGTTTAAAAAGCAACAAAGCAGTCTAGCTACCAAGAGGACATTGGTCGTCAGTTGCCATCGTTGGATGGCAACAGTAGTCGTCAGAACGGCACATGATCGGCTAGATCTAGTCAATTTGGCAAAAAACGATTAGATTTAGGCCAAATCTTGCCGTTACAACCAGATTCTAGACATTGTTAATAGCCAGAGATCTAGCTGTGACGGCAAAGATCTATTAGCCGTGTCAACGGCCAGAGAGATTGGTCGGGATTTGGCAATCAGTGCACGACCATTTCGATCACATCGGTTGACAGTGGCCGAGACAGTCGACAGTGATTGCTAGCAGATGATGGTGGTCTTGGGTGGATAAATTTTCAGATTGGAATGAAGAAAGAAAAATATTTTCAGTTGGATAATATGAACAAGTCCCACCCTCTTTTTATTTTTAGACGAAAAATCTTATTTGACTTAGATTAATTTTTAGATTAGATGACAAAAAGTAAATAAATCCATATCCTATTTTTTATTAATAGGATAATAGAATAATGATCTCTAAACACAGTGTATACAATCTTTACCAAATTACTACATGTTTTCAATTTCTGAAGACGATATCTTAAGTAAAAAAAAATCGTTGCATTTGTGTTGGAATCAAATATTGTGTAAGAAACATGTTAATTATGTTTTTTTTTTTTTGTTTTTTTTTAATGTAAATGGGTGGTTGATGTTGGTGTTTGGGGTTAATTTGAAGGAAGGATATTTGTAAATGGAAGAATTATGATGTTTTAAACTAAACATGACTATATCAGAGGGTATCGGTACGGTTTGCAGTCACTTGGCGCAGCCAAGGTTGAATACGACCTATAGGGATTAGGGGTATTTTACGATCCGTTGTTTTATTATTTATATCTTATTCCCAAAAACTTGTGTATAATTATTTAGAAATATTATTATATTTTTTAATTACTTTTAAATTCTTTAAGTTTATTAATTTATTAAACTCCCTATAAAAAAATGTAAAAATTAACAAAAACACCCCACACCACCCATGTTGTCAGATATGTCACAACGGCATAGAAAGGACCAGAACTGGCCAGTAATTTGCCGATTTGGTTGTCAACGACGACAAAGAAATGATCATCGTTGACGACAACGACAGCCAAATCTGGACTTTTTGCGGCCGTTGACGACTAGATTTGGCCATAGATCTGACTTTTCCAATCAGATGCGTGGTCTGGCCGAAAAAGGCCATAGAGATTCATAACCGATAGATTCGACCGGTCTGAGTCGTAACACAATTTTTCAGTCAGATCAGCGGTGGTGGCGGGATCTGACACTGTGGTAGTGAGGTGTTTTTGTCATTTTACAAAATTTTTATATTTGGGTGTTTAGTAAATCACAAATTAAGAGGTTTTTTGTGAATTTTAATTTTACCTGTATAATCCTCATATCAACTACTCATATTATTCTCAAAATCTATCAAAATAACAAACCAAAGACCTTCAATTTTCACAAGGGGTATTGTAAGGTGAAAATTATTGAAAATTACAACAACCCTATAGGTCATATCGATATCTGATATGATAAAACACCCTTAGTGAAAATTTGTCCCCTATAAGTTTATCAGTGCCTGATATCCTTTGATGGGGTACAATCTTTCATTGTTTTCAACAGGGCTGCGAAAAGTAACTGATATCACTAATACCCCCAATAGGAAGTCCCAAGTTACATGAAGAATCAAAATCTTTCGATTTCGAACATCCCCATCTAAAAATTACACAAGCAATAACTTAATACCCATCTACATAAAATCTTTGATTTGGTAGGATTGTTAAATAGAATGGGTTAGATGAGTTTTAAGAGTTGAAGAATTACTTTTAATTAAAGGTTTAATGAACTGTAAATGAGGCATTTTCATCCTTTAAATCTTGTTAAAAGAGAAATTGTTATTTGTAAGATACTTATCCAAATGGCTAGTACTCAATCTCACCCAAAATGGGTCAAATACTATAATTTTCCAATAAAAAACCCTTAAAACTCTAGGGTGTGTTCTTTTATGAATTTTGTTATCTTTTTTTGAAAATATTGAAAATAATTGAAAAGACAAGAATAAAAGCACATTTGACAGTTTATCTTACAAAAATATCTGAAAATGTGAAAATGAAAAATTGTTCAAATTGTGTTGTTTGAAAAACAAAGAAAATAATTATAATACAAATTTGCAATTCCACTTGATACAACCCTTTCAAATTATCACTCATTTTGTTGTTATCGAACAACTTGTCTTAAATATGTCAATATTAGCTTCTGTTTTTGATTTTGTAAATCTTGATTTGAAATGAAAGTTTAGTTTTAAGAGAGAAATAAAATAAATAAAAAATAATATATATAATATTTTTTTTTTTTTTTTAAGTCAAGAGAGGGACTCTTCTTCTCCCAATTGATAGGGCTTAATTTTGACTATGATGCTTTGCAAGTTAATCCAACAGGTAAGTATTAGAAAAACATAATACAACACCCCTTTGTATTTATACCACTAATTGATAATTGCATTTAAACCTTATTACGGAAAACCCGGGACAAAAAACGTTTTTTTCTCCTTTCGTAGATACAAATCCGTGAAAAAATGCAAACAACGCATCTCCCGACTCCTGATGTTAGAAAAATGAAAAGAGTAGGTAGAAAAACGTAATCGAATGGACTAAAATTAAAAATTATATAAAGTAAATTATGAGAAAAATAAATGAGTTGGGTCAGATATAAATAAAGAGTGGTCAAAACTCAAAACCAAAAACCAAAGCAATTAATAAGTTTTTGTTTAGTGTGATCACCAAAGCCTACTCAGTAGTTGAGGATGCCTATGTAAGGTGATTACTTACCTCTGTTTATACTCAGGTCTGCTTTACGTGTAAATTTCTTTACTGTAGAACTGTTGCTGCCTTAAATCTCCAAGACCTAATAGCAAGTAACGAAACCATGTTAACTTAATATTATAAAGTTGCACCTATGATTGTTTTCTATGCCCACATAATTCTAGGACAACTCCTATTCTGAGCAATATTAACGCCAACAATTTAGTACCTGAATTTGCATCTGTTTATTGCCTTTTCCTTATGATCAGAAAATACATTCAGTCTTAAAACTAGTCAATGAGCATGAGAAGTACCCATATAATTAAGTTGCCTGACAGTATTCATATCGCAGCATATTATAAACTACATAATATAATTGCAAATTAGTACAAAAGCTCATCATAAAATAGCATACACAAACTATATAAAGGTTACACACCACCTATTTTATACCTTATCATATACTCGTAAACAACATGCAAACACGCAGAAAATTAATTCATCACACATGATGGTTCCTGCCCCTTCCGGTGAATGATGCACGGTCAGTGTAGGCACTACCCGAGCCGCCACTTCCTTCACCACTGCCGCCACCAGCAGAGTTTCCAGACCCACTTCCAGACCCATACCCACCACCATGAGCACCACCACTCCCAGACCCATAACCGTAGCCCGACCCCGATCCAGACCCGGAACCAAACCCAAAGCCTGAACCTCTACCAAATCCGGTGGGTGACCTTCCCGAGCCAGACCCATAACCCCACCCACTTCCTGGGCTGGACCCCCAACCCCAACTGTAATCCCAGTTTGGCCCATGGGCCGAACCAGTTGCACCAGAAGAAGAGCCGGTCGGGGCATTAGTCCCCATGGAGGTTTCAGGAGGATGTGCTAAAGAAGTTTGAAGGATGAAGAAGGGGAGGAGGATGATGAATTTGACAATGTTGGTTCGCATGTTTTGATGGGAAGTTGAGATTTTTTTAGTGGGCTTGTTGTGAGGTTATGACGGTTTGCACTAAAGACTTGAAAGAGTATTGTGCATGAAAGTGGAGATTTATAGTGGTTTTTTGGTTTCATGAAAGTGATATGGATGACTCGTGATGACATTTACTTTTCAATGGTGGACATGCCGGGGCTTCAGAAATTTATCCACTAGAGCTAAAGCATTACCTCGCCTGATACGCACCACCGCCTCACACTTAATTTAACATTCGTTCAATCCTTTTAACTCATAATGGATGTCATTATCTTTTCATGAAAACACTCCATTGTACAAACATTTTGTGTTCAAGTTTTCTTAGGTTTCATATAAGGAAAATGATAGAGCCACTAAAGGTTGCGTATCGAATCTGTACACCGAATGACGTGACAAAATCTTGACCGTTGATTAATATTAACTGATAATAAATCAACGGTCAGGATTTTACCACGTCATTCAGTGCACAATCTTCGGTGGCTGTAGCATTACTCTTTATATAAACATTAACTTGTACACATCCATTATTCTACCTCATCAAGGATTCTTATGCTTCAATTAAAATTCTATCTAATTCTTTTCACTATTGGAATTGATACATACAACGACGATTGAGACAAATACTTCTAATATTATGTTAACGTAAGGCATGCATCAGCGTATTAATTGCAATATCTCAATGTCGCTCGTGTTGGGGGTGAGTATTTTTTCTACGCTAAAAGATTGCATCGACAAAATACTAAAAATCGAGTTGAGTATCTGGTAAATCAAACTCGACTCGATCGCTACAGTTACCGAGCTCGAGCATGAGAAATCAAGTTCGAACTTGAACTTGGTATTTGAAATTGGAAATCGAGTTCGAATTTGAGTTCGTATAATCGAGTTTTTTTCGAGTTTGAGTTCGAGTTCGAACTCGATTTCGAGCTCATCTAACGGGGTGAATTTTTAAATTTTATATCTTTTAAATTACATATAACCCCTATTACTTTGAAAACTATCAACTTAACCATCGAACTTAAAAATACTTATGAACATATCAAGTCGAGTTTTATTGTAATCGAACTTGACTCGATTAATTACTCGAACTCAAACTCGATTCGACATCAAGTTCAAGTTAACATCAAGTCAAATTCGAGTAGATCGCGAGCAGCTCAACTCGATTTTCACCCTTAGTCGGCATATGTATAAACTAATTCCGACGTCTTTTATGTGCATATACCAACGATAAGCCGTTGCCATGTAAATGGAGGCATATTAAAGTTAAGGATTTTTTTTTTTTTTTTTTTTATTATTATTATATGCGAAGATTATTTTGGAAGAAGCAAATGGGGGGTTTTACTACAGTACTGGCAGGTAAGGACTAAGGTTAGCGGCCAGTAAGATAGGTAAAGCTAACAAATGGATAGGATAGTTGAACGAGGACCGGCAAGTATTAGTGGTAGCACAACTTTAACTGGCCATCCCATCGTGGACATGTGGCAACGTGACATGCATATTTATGTACCTCCCTCTTCATGATCTTTCTTTCTACTTGCATTATTGTTTAATTTTGGTTGGTTGTTGCAAAAAGGCTCTTTTTGCTTGTGCTCTCGTGCTATATAACAACTTTGACTTCCAAATTCTTGTATTTATGGATCTAACCCAATCTATTCATGAGCTTGACCTGATCTTGACACGAGGATTTCGTTTTTCATCGTGATCTTCTTTCCTTTTTAGTGGGAATTTTTAGAGCACAAGTACTAGATTTAACTGTTGGCATTTATGAAATATCTGAGGATCTTTATTGTACATTTAAGGACCACAATTTCACTTCTTTTGCTTCCACACAATAAAAGGTGAACTCATACGGTATATTGGTGGTCCTATTACATAGGCATTATAACTCCACCTTTGAGAATTGTTAGAGTGATAAAATGTTATTGATATTGTGCTGGATTGACATAATATTATTGATTTGATGTCGTAAACAATCTTATTATGAACATTGACGTCAAATTTTATCTCTATTCCAAAACGTACGTGTCCTGCCACATTTGCTTGTGCTCAATGCTCATCCATTTCCGAACTAGTTGCTCTAATAAATCACCCATTTGAAGAGAAAATGTAACTTATTGCAGAAGTGTATTTCCCATATGAAAATTGAATTGTTGATTGAAAATGGAAATTCGGATGAGGGTTTCTTCTTGAATAGTGGTAGACCCAAGATTTTTATCAAGGGAGACTTCTGCGGCTCCGTCATTATTTGTCAAACAATTAGTAAAAACTTTAAAAAAATTATCAAACCTTAAGCAAATAAAATAATATAATATCAACAACGTAATAGGAAACAATGCAATAACACAATACTTTGTTACTTGAATAAATCTATAATAAGCAAAACCTTGAGCAAATGTGTTAAAAATAACATCCAATTCATAAGGAAACACAAGAAAATTTTTATGTGAAGAGAACAAAAAACCATAGGAATCTAATTATTTACTTAAATCTAATATAATCAAAAGAGTTTACAACAACCATAATCTACAAAAAATATTCCACACAAATTTCTTACTTCTCCCTTTAAAAATAAAAAAAAATTTGGCTTCCAAAGATTATAATATAATTTTTTATGACTTTGATCAAATCTAGCCTAAGTAAAGTCAACCAAAACTTAAATCAATGCGTTGACTTTTAATATGAATTAATAAAAAATGAAAAATCTTCTTGGTATAAACATAAATAGTAACTCAAATTTTTTTAATAATTTTGAACAACTAAACGGCGACGTTTGAAATGTGAGAAAGTGGTGGGTGAAGAGTGGAGAATGATGTCTAGTAAAATATAGTTAAGGTTTAATTTGAGAAAGTATGAACATTCTTAGACACAAAACACAAAACAAACTCACAAGATCCATGCATTTTTCATCAAATTAGAATAAAAAACTTTCAAAAAACAAGCATGATTCAACTCTAAAATAAACTAAATTGAAATGAGCAATACACATACCCAAAACTGATAAAATATAAAACAAAGCTCAATGTGGCACTTTGAGTAGTGAAACCTTCAACAATTTCAGTCTTCAAAAGTTTTAAAAGCGAATAGAATGAAAAAGAGAATGAGAGAATGAGAGAGCAAAGAATTTTGCGGAGCAATAATAAAAAGCAAGTGAAGCTGTGAAGAAGAGTGAAGAGGGTTTTAAACTTTTAATATGATGTGAGTCTTGAATATTTTTAAGTTATTAATTTATTAAACTCCCTATAAAAAAATGTAAAAAATTAACAAAAACACCCCACCCACCCATGGTTGTCAGGAATGTCACACGGCATACGAAAGGACCAGAACTGGCCAGTATTTGCCGATTGGTTGTCAACGACGACAAAGAAATGATCACGTTGACGGACAACGACAGCCAAATCTGGACTTTTTGCGGCCGTTGACGACTAGATTTGGCCATAGATCTGACGGTTTCCAATCAGATGCGTGGTCTGGCCGAAAAAAGGCCTAGAGTTCATAACCGGATAGATTCGACCGGTCTGAGTCGTAACACAATTTTTCAGTCAGAGTCAGCGGTGGTGGCGGGATTGACACTGTGGTAGATGAGAGTGTTTTTGTCATTTTACAAAATTTTTATATCTTGGGTGTTTAGTGAAATCAGGCAAATTTAAGAGGTTTTTTGGAATTTTGAATTTTACCTAGTAAATCCTCATATAATACTCACTATTATTCTCAAAATCTTATCTAAAATAACAAACCAAATATGACTTCAATGTTCACAAGGGTGTATGTGTAAGGTGAAAATTATGTGAAAATTACAACAACCCATATAGGTTCATATCGATATTGATATGGGATAAAACACCCTTACGTGACAAATTTGTCCCCTATAAGTATTATCAGTGCCTGATACCTTTGTCGCGGGAGGTACAATCAATTTTCATGTTTTGCAAACCAGGGGCTGCGAAAAGTAACTGATATCACTAATACCCACCCAATAGGCAAGTCCCAAGTTAATGAGAACCTCAAAATTTCGAATTTCGACATCCCCATCTAAAAATTAACACAAGCAAAATAACTGTAATCACCCATCACATAAAGATCTTTGATTGGGTAGGGATTGGTTAAATAGAATGGGTTAGATGAGTTTTTTAAGAGTTGAAGAATTACTTTTAATTAAAGGTTTAATGAAACTGGTAAAATAGAGGCATTTTCATCCTTTCAATCTGTAAAAGAGAAATTGTTATTTGTAAGATACTTATCCAAAGGCTAGTACTCAAGTTCACCCTTGCACATGGTCAAATACTATAATCTTTCCAATAAAAAACCCTTAAAACTCTAGGGTGTGTTCTTTTATGGAATTTTGTCTATTTTTTTGAAAATATTGAAAATAATTGAAAAAGGACAAGAATTAAAAGCACATTTGACAGTTTATCTTACAAAAATATCTGAAAATGTGAAAAGGAAAAATTGTCAAATTGTGTTGTTTGAAAAACAAAGAAAATAATTATACTACGAAATTTCGCAATTCACACTTGATACAACCTTTCAAATTATCACTATTTGGTTGTTAGCGAAACAATTGTCTTAAATATGCAATATTAGCTTTGTTTTTGATTTTGTAAATCTTGATTTGAAATGAAAGTTGTAGTTTTAAGAGAGAAATAAAATAAAAATAAAAAATAATATATATAATATTTTTTTTGTTTTTTAAGTCAAGAGAGGGACTCTTCTTCTCCCCAATTGGATAGGGCTTAATTTTGACTATGATGCTTGCAAGTATCCAACAGGTAAGTATTAGAAAAACATAATAAACACCCCTTGTATTTATACCACTAATTGATAATTGCATTGTAAACCTTAATTACGGAAAACCGGGACAAAAAACGTTTTCTTTCTCCTTTCGTAGAGTACAAATCGTGAAAAAATGCGAAACAACGGCAAGGATCTCCCGACTCCTGGATGTTAGAAAAATGAAAAGAGTAGGTAGAAAAGTAATCGAATGGAACTAAAAATTAAAATTATATAAAGTAAATAGGAGAAAAATAAATGAGTTGGGTCAGATATAAATAAAGAGTGGTCAAACTCAAAACCAAAAACCAAAGCAATTAATAAGTTTTTGTTTAGTGTGCTCCACCAAAGCCTACTCAGTAGT